TTAATGTGAAGAAATACATATCCTATGACTTATTGATTCCTTTCACACATTTATCTCATACAAGTAAATATTGCAATATACAAATATGTATATTAGAATATACAAATATGTATTGTTTATGAACAGTCCCAAGTGAAAAGAACACAAATGTCCACCAATAATTATTTTTATGAAAATAATATATACTTTTTCAATGAACACTATGAAATAAAATCAATTAATGACCTGGTTAGTTTGTTCTCAACCTGACAAGCTAGAATCATTTGGGAAGAGAGACTCTCAATTGTGAAAATTTCCCCACGAGATTAGCCTGTGGGGGTATTTTCTTGATTAATGATGGTTATGGCAGGGCCCAGCTCACAGTACTACCCTTGGGCAGGTGGTTCTAAGTCATATACAAAAGCAAGCTGAGAAAACCTTGGGAAACAAGCCAGTAAGAGCACTCCTTCATAGCCTTTGCTTCAGTTCCTGACATGAGCTCCTGCCCTTATTTCCCTTAGTGATAGAAGGTGACTTGAGACTTGTTAACTGAAAAAAAATTTTTTCCTACCCTAGTTGCTTTTGATCATAGTGGTTTTTTATCACAAGCAATAGAAACTAATTCAGACAGTCAACTAGTGAATCTTAACACTGAGCCATAAAAGGCAGGAGAAGATTACATACTGCACAAACACATCTACACAAAGCTCAAAAATAGAGACCTATAAATGCTCAAGCAGCAAAAACATTCAAGAAAGGCAAGAGAAGTCATACAATACATATCATAATGTCAGCAAGCAGGAAAGAGAGAAAAAAATCTGAAAAGGTAGCCAGGAAGCTTCTGAAATCCCAGCAATGCTTCTATGCTTTGTTGTATAATCAAGAAGTTGTCAACATGCTATTCTATTCTAAAGAATAAAACTTTACTGATACAGTTTTCCATGTTTCATTTCATATAAAATGATTAAAACTCAATTCATTTAAATTCCAACTGAAATAAACTATTTAATAAAGAGGGTCCAAAAATTGCCAGACAGTCTACCTCAAAAATAAATCAAGTGACATATTAAACAATGACTCAAACACACTACAGACTTGAATGATTACACTTGCTTTACCTGGAACTCAAATTCTTCTACCGCTCTAACTATGAAAAAGACTAACATAGTTATCTAAATACAGGTATTAAATGCTATGATAGGCAGGCTCTAACACAGCTGCTAAAGATTCTCTCCTCTCAATATACTTATTTATATAGGGAATTCTCTCTTAACTTTAGAACAAACAATGCTTTTTGTTTGTTTTGTTTAGATAGGGTTTCTCTGTGTTGCTTTAGAGTCTACCCTACCCTGGAACTCTCTCTGTAGATCAGGCTGGCCTCGAACTCACACAGAGATCTGCCTGCCTCTGCCTCTGGTGATGAAAAATGAAGTATCAGACCTGTGAGATGGCTCAAGGGGTAAAGGTTTGATCTCTAGAACACAGATTAGCACAGAACATTCCCTCATGCTGTCTTTTGACCCGTGTAAGCTACCCCTTCTTAACCTAGCTGCACAAAATAAAAATATAGTAATTTTTTTAGACTTTAATAAATTAGCTCTTCAGTCATTTGTAAAAGCTAAAATTAAAATAACCAAATCCAATCACAGATACATGAAAAAAAAAAAATGTCCTAACACCTGTATACATACTGCTTACTACAGGCTCCAATATCCAGAAGTACTTGAAATTACTATTTTTTAACTAAGTTACCTACAAAATATATAGTACTAGAGGACATCAATCTCAAGGATATTAGACTCAAGCTAAAGGGCCCCAGCAAAATTCCCCAAGAAGCGTAATGACAAAAATAGAAAACCAGTACACAAAGCTGTATGATTCAATGAAATAACAAAGATTTTATTACTAGAAAACACCAGCAAACAGAGATAAGACCTATTAGACTCATTAGAAGAGTTAATGTTAGGAAAAAATTATCTTTTCCACTCATCAATACAATTTTTACACTTTATGATAGTTTCTGTTCAAAATTTTTTGTAGACAAACATTCATACAAACATAGATATATTTTCTGACTAATATGATCAAAACACTGTCTCTCTACAGAACAAAGACTGGACAGATTGAGATTTCCCTTAGTTGTAACACAAATCCATTAGATGTACCATTCTAAGTGGGCCCACCTCCACACTGCCCTTGTAGGATCTGAGCATCAGAGCAGTCTCATTCAAAGATAAAGTAACGGTAATGAAGTCTTTCATCTATTAAACTGTGGTGGTGCTAACTTCTTAGTTTGCTTGTGAGAGTAAAAGTCTCAAACCTTTCTGGGTTTTATAGCTATAAAAGCTTAACCCAGTCACAAAAAGAGAAACATGGCATGTACTCTCTCATATATGGATTTTAGACATAGATCTGGGGAGTGCCAGCCTACAATCCTATAGCCAGAGAGTCTGGGAAACAGAAACTTCATTTAGTGGCTGATCGAAGAAGAGGCAGACTCCCTTGGTTAAGTACTGAGCTGAACTCAAGAAAGCCAGTAACAGAGAGGGAGGACTGATGATCAAAGGGATTAAGACTGGGCTGGTTTAACCCCCAGAAACAGCTGACCAGACAAAGGTTAACTCTTGAATCCCAGGCATCAGCCTGGGAATCCAGCATGGGACTGATCAAGACCCCCTGAATCTGGGTGTCAGTGAGGAGGCCTAGGGAATCTATTGAGTCTTGGGCAGCAGATCAGTACCCATCCCAAGTATACACACGGACTTTGGACTCCCATAGAATAATGGGAGGTGCACTCTCACCCTGAACTCTTGGGGAAGGGTCTAGGCCCTGCCCTATATGAAATGACAGACTATGGACACCCCCATGGAGGGCCTCACCCTCCCTGGGGGAATGAGGGGATAACAGGGGGGGTTGGGGGAGGGCACGGGAGGAGGGGAGGGAATGGGAGAGGGACCTGGAACTGACTTGTGAAGCAACCTTGTTTCTTATCTAAATTTAAACTGGAAAATTTAAAAAAAGCTTTAATTTTTAATATTTGAAACTATACTAAAAAAGGAACTCAATAACAAATGAAAACCTTAAATATTTCAATATATAGAAAATTATCATACATTTCATTTAACTCTCATCCTGATGGCTGGCTTATTCATTGTATTGATGAATTTATTCATCAATGACTTTACAATGAACCAAATATCACAAGAAATTATAAGTTTAAGACAAAAAATATAAAATGACTGCAACATACTTTCACTCATTCTGTTTAATAAATAAGGTAGTTAAAGAATATGAAAATTAGTAAGTTTAATACAGAATTTTCCACCACAGGAACGGGGGGGGGGGAGTGGTGTCCCTCACAATATACACAATGCATTTTAAAAATTCACATATTGAACACTTTCAGTTTCGTTACTTGTAGTGATCCAAGGATAGGGCCTTCAACATCATCTGGGACTTGCTAGAAATGCATTGTCAGGGTCCAAAGACTCCCTTTAGTTTAAAAAAAAAAAAAGACTATATTTTGACAAGCTCCTAAGGTAATTCCATGAACTCAATAGCTTAAGTACTGTGTAGGGCTACAGAGATGGTTGTTAAGAGCACTTGCCCCTCTTGCAAAGGACCTGGGTTCAGTTTCTAGCATCCAAGTGGCTCACAGCTATCTGTGAATTCCGTTCCAGTAAGGTTCATCCTCCTCTTTTGACTTCCTCAGACACAAGGCACACTAGTGGCACACTCACATACACATACATGCAGACAAACACAAATAAAATAACTGTAAAGAAGTACTGTGCTATAAAATAATTGACCATTACCTTCTCTCCCACCCAAATGACCAATAGACAAGTGAATCTTAAACATGTAATAAAGATACTGTTTCTGATAACATACAAAATAAAATTCCAGAAAAGTCAGGATAAAAAAAATATAGTCGCAAACCATATAAAGAGCATTTAGCTATCAAACCAGCATATTCCAAATCTTAACAAAGCCAGAAGTTAGTAACAAGACAAGATGAATAGCCAAAATGGAAACTATTAAGATAATATAAAATTCTAGAATTGTATAGTTTTATCACAATAAAAACATTACTAATCATTTTTATTTTCAAGTTAATAGCCTAGAACATAGTATTGAGTACAGTACATATTTTACTTTAATACATAAAGGTACCTTATTAAGACAGCTCTTAAATGTGAAAATATTAGAAATTTGAAAAAATATTGTTTCAGAGTTATTTTTTATATGCTTCCAAGAGCACAGAATTGATCTTTACATATTATCTGTTTGTGAAATGACTGAGGAAATGTATACACTAAAATAGAACATTCTGGTTATAAATCAGTGAATACAAAACTGTCTTTTAGGTATCCTTCATGACTTAAGACATTGCAAATAGGTTTTAATTATTTTTTCACATGCATTTTTTTCATAGCAAAAAACTTCAACTTTTCAAGTTTTATTTAAAATTTAAAATTTTCTGATGAAAATTCATGATGGGTCTATTTTCTACTTTTTAAAACAAAGTTGGCAATGCTGTAAGCTAGAGCTTCACCTTGTATTTTGTATAGCAGACAAAAAACTGTACCACTAAACTATATTCCTAGCCATTAAAGTTAAGATCCACTGAAAACTGTGTTGCAATACCTCCCAAAAGGGATCTTGAAAATACTGAATTGTGCTGGACATGGTGGCATACACCTTTAATTCCAGCACTCAGGATACTAAGGCAAGCAGATCTCTATGGGTCCAAGGCCAGTCTGGTCTAGATTCCAGACCGGCCAGGGCTACATAGTGAGACCTTGCCTAAAAAACAAAACAAAATAAAAAAGAAACCAAAAAACAATACAACAACAACAGAAGAAATTGTAAGATTTTTTTTTAAAATAACAAGGCTAAAGAAAACTTCCCCCAAATTAAATTCTTTTAAATTATTTAAACGTCTCACCCTGAAATACTCCTATGTAATAGGAACAAGGAATAACAGAAACTAAACATAAAGTAAACATGAAACAACATACCTCTCTTTTATTTCTCCTTGCAACCTTGAGGAATTCCATAAGGATCTGAAGCTGAGCTGCATGTGATTCCTAGAATACAAAGTTTTAATTTTCCTTAACAAATATAACGAGCTTACAGTTTTCATTAACAAACTGTATAACCAGTATTACAGATTTACTTAAGCTAATTTACTAGTTCTGTCCATTCAGTTTTCCCATCTGCTAATTGCAATTTCAAAAACCAACCTACTTTTTATAAAAAAATAAGTAACAAAAGCTGGTGCTCTACATGTTTTAAAAACAAAACAAAAAACCCCACATGTACTTAATGGCTTCTTTTCCTCAACCAAACTCAACATCAAGGCAAAAATAACAATGAACCTAATATAGTTACTATACATGAAAATGATTCCTGATAGAATCTCATTTGCTATGATGATCATTAATAAACAGAAAGCTATTTATACCTTTCATAAATATAGGCTCTCACAGGATTAGGCCTACTACCATTGGGGGGTGGGGGAGATGGGGTTAAGCAGCAGAGGGTCTGAAGCCTCTGTCCTGTCACAAAGAAGAGGCTCTGTCAATAGAGCAGCTGCCCTTGAGAATCCCTCTAAGCAACCCTTATTTTCTTTAATATGAAGCTACCCTCTGGGCCAAACAGGAATACACAGGATTACACGGCTAGGAAAAGTCATGCAATACCTACTCACACAGACATGAGAAGTAATATAAATATAGTTTGTCGAAGTTTGATTAAAAAAAAAAATCAAACCTTTGAAAACACACACACACAAATAAAAAATATAAAGAAGGATAGCAAGTACCCCAAACTAGTAACTGAAATGAAAAATGTATTGATAAATGATCATTATAACCATGACATTTGGTGGGTATTCTAAAATCCACCAAATGAACTAACGAATTTCAGATGAGTAGAATAAATACATGTCAACACCTAAAAACAGTTTAAAAAAAATACAATTCTAACATTTTCTTATAGGTTTGAAAGGGAAAATAATTAACAAAATCTTTATTTACCTGACTAAGCAATAGAATTATTTGAACTTTTTTTTTGAGACAGGGTTTCTCTGCAGCTTTGGAGCCTGTCCTGGAACTTGTCTGTAGACCAGGCTGGTCTCAGCACTACGGAGATCTGCCTGCCTCTGCCTCCCGAGTGCTGGGATTAAAGGCATTCGCCGCCACCATCACCACCACCAGGCTATTTGAAGACTCTTGATCTGATCTAAAAATTCTGATACTGCTTTTTACAAAATTTCTGAGAAAAAGAGTGCTATGAAACACCATCATCTTCCTTGGGACAAGACACAGATGCTACACAATAAACTCACAGCAGCAGTGGCTACCAGACAAGATCTCCAGAAAACTGGGCTAATCAGCAATCATCATAGGTAGGGGTGGAACTCATGAGGCACCACCCTCTTGGGGAGACAAAGGTTGCTAGAGGGAGATTCATATTTGACAGTAGAGTAGACCCTGGTAAATTCCCCTGCTCAAGTAAATATTCCCTCACCCCTATACTCCTATTTAAATGCTGTGGACCCCTTGAAACACACACAAAAAGACATCAAAGCAAGAGGAGATTTATTAGGAAAGCGGGGGTTTGGTAGGAGAGGAAAGAAGAGAGGATATTGGGGTAGAAAATGAGCAAAGTACATTATACACATGCACACACACATGTATGTATGAAGGAAATTATGAAAATGTAGTTTTAAAAAAGAACAAAACCAAAGAAAGAAAAAGCAATGACCTAGATACATAAAAATGAGATACTGCTACAGGAGGGAGATCTAATTTTCTCCTGAAGTGGAGAAGGAAGACCCAGCTGAGCTAAGTAGAAGGAATCACTAACTCCACCTGCTCCTTCATCTTAATAATTACTAGTATGTGCGAGTGGGTGTGGGTGTGTGTTGTATACCTGCATGTGTGGAGGCCAAAGGACAAGCTTTTACAGTCAATTCTCTCCTTCCACTATGGGATCCAGAGACAGAAGAATTCAGGTCATCAGGTTTGCATGGCATGAGCTTTTTACTCTCTGAGCTACCTTGCCAATCCCCCACCTGCTTCATAAGCAGTATATTAATCTTATGCCCAGCCCGTTTTAACCCTGACACCTGATACTCCCAACCCCAGAGCCTCTGCCTCACAATACATACAATGTAAGTTCTTAGCTTTACATCACTGTTGGTTCAGTGTACATTTTTGCAAATTTGAAAATCAATTACCCTATCTTCATCTGCTTTAGGACTTACAATACGGGGGCTGGAGCAATAACTTTTCAAATGTGTTTAGTCGGGGGGGGGGAATGGGTTATTGACAATGCTCTATTATTTCCAAACCTTTCTAGGTATTTATCATTGCATAACAAATCATGGTTTAAAACACGGTATCTTTTTAATATCTTTTAAGTTTAGGGTGCACTTACTGCTTCCAGTTGTTTCTTCTTTTGTACTAGTAATTCCAACATAAGGTTGACATTGGCCAAATCAAGGTTATCCTGATCAGTTCCTAGCAAATCTTGAAATATTTGCCACCTATGCCCATTCTAAAATTAAAAAGAACATTCTAAAATTAATTAACAACACTGTTTTAGATTTTAAATCAGACATTTAAGAAGTACTTTCTAAAGTGTTTTGTTACGTCAAAATAAATTGCACTTCCATTCTAACTAACTTCTCCACAATTAGCAGAGCTACAATTTAAGTACTAGCTCTACTTGGAATGAATATAGCTAACAAGTATAGAAGGCATATGAAAAATAAATATTAAGTTGATATCTCCAAGTATAATAAATCAAAACACCTGGATTTTCAGGCTTGCACTTGGTAAAATATTAGCTTCGGCTCAGCTGTCTCAATAATGTGGGGCTAATCCACTATGAGAAGCTTATTCAAAATACCTTGACATATGACCCATCACATGTTAAGATACGAGTAATCCCTATGTAAGGTGATACCACCAGGCCCTTCAAATTATGGTCAGTCTATCAAAGTATTACAGATAATAAAGTTATGAAAGTTATTTATTTATTTATTTGAATAAGTACAAAAGTAAAGCACAAATAAGCTTGTTGTAAGAAAAGTTAATTCTTTACTAGGTATTAATATCTACAATCAAATAAAATGAATTTAGTAGAAATAGGAAGGGGGGATAAGAATACTTAGTTCATAGGGCACTTTTCTACTACATACAAAGCTCTGGACCCAGTCACTGCTATTATAAAACAAACAAAAAGAGAAAAAGTAATAAGATCTGAAACATACGGTGCTACTCACTGAGTGGTCCAATTTGAACCTCTTTTCCTCAAATCTTTGCTTCTGTTTGAGAATGAGCTCATTCACTGAAAACAAAAATAAAAAAGCACACACAATTTGTACTCTTGTTATATTTGTCTTTGACTTGTTCAGAGTCTGAATTTTAAAGAAATATGAAGGAAAAATGTGTTCGCTTTCTATTCTATTTTGAATTAGGATTTTTTTCTGTACTTGTTTCAGGAAATTCTTTATAAGTAATTCTATTGCTTTAGGAATTTCATTATAGTATATACTCCATTTTCATGTTTCTTAATAATACTATTGGTATCTTGAGAGACATTATTTTTCAGTGTTAAAATACTTAAGTGCATTCTATGAGACAAACAGTCAAGATTTTTGCTTTGTTGTAACTTTTTTATAAACACCTTGGAAGATGTTGATAATTATATACTTAAAACCATTCTTAGTAACACGATTATCTTTCCAAATCTCAGACTGTCATATAACTTTTAGAGATGCCAAATCTCATCTCAACCATGGTGTGACTAATCTAAGCCAAACTAATCACTTGTTCTCGGCCAAATCACAGTTTGATTTTGGCTCCCCCCACCCTTTTTTCTCTGTATTGCTTTGGAGGCTGTCCTGGAACTTACTCTGTAGACTAGGATAGCCTGGAACTCACAAAGATCTGCTTGTCTCTGCCTCCCGAGTACTGGGATTAAAGGCATGCGCCACCAATGCCCGGCTGATTTTGGCTTTTGCAACAAGGTCTTACTAAGTACCAAGCCTGACTGAGATTCCTAATGCTCCTACCTCAGCCAGGGTTGTAGGGATGTCACACATAGCCTGGAGACATACACATTACTAATCAATGAGAAATGTGCTCTCTTTTCGTTGGGAGAAAAAAAAATTCTCTCCCTGTCTCCAGAAGGAAATGGTATCTGAACCTTCTTAAAGTCATTTTGAAGTTCTGAGTTCTGTGGTAGCTATGCAAAGAACTAAGACATATCTTCATGAAAGAAAAAAAAACTTAATATTATCAATGAAGTACTGAATTATTAGCTCTGGAAATTCTCTGTAAACAAATGCAATTTAAACAACTGGGACTTCTAATTTGCATCTGGGGGGGTGTTTTGTTGTTGATGTCATTTGCTCTTACAAAAATACTAGTAACAAAAGAGCAGAGAATCTGGGCTGTGGTGGTGCTCACCTTTAATCCCAACACTCAGGAGGCAGAGGGAAGTGGATCTCTGTGAGTTCGAGATCAGCGTGGTCTACAAGAGTTCCAGGACAGGCTCCAAAGCCACAAAGAAACACTGTCTCGAAAAGGAGCAGAGAAATGGTGCTAGAATTATTTGGGTGACAAATGGAACATGATAGAGTTGGTATCCAAGATGAAATGCTGAATATGGTCCACTATACAAATAAATCAAAATAGATACCAAACCCACCTTAGCTTTGAAGCTTCAAAACTGAATGAAATGATCTATAGCCTCAAATAACTTAAACTAGCAAAAGAGATACATAATAAAATGGGATAATCAATAAATACTATCATTGATACAGACTTACAAAGTGCACAGTCATATAAAGTTCAAATAAGAACAGAGCCAAAATATGCACAGACTTTCTAGATAGAAAGATAAATGAAAAAATACAGATAAAAATGTATATGTGTATGTGTCTGACCAACTCATGAAACATCAGAATATGGTTTTGGGAAGATTAACAGGGTTAAGAATTAGAAGCAGAATATTAGTACATCAGTCTGATTCTAAAAAAGTAGTCAGCAAGATTATTGAGATTGAGAATTTGCACTAACACAATGGAGAATGAAAAAATTAAAGTACACTAGAACGGGTCTGGAGGCACCGGTGATTAATGGACTTTGCCTCACTTACAGAAGACCAGCTTCAGTCCCTAGCATCCACATAGCAACTTAGGACCACCAATACCTTTGTATGGTCTCCTTGACACAAACTTGGTACACATAAATATATGGAAACAAGAAGCTCATATGAATATAATAAAAATAAGTCCATCTTTTAAAAAGAATATGCCAGAGTATGTTTCAGTTATATTAAGTTATTAGCATTTGAGTAGGAACTGTGACTTGACAGTTACAATTTCGCATGCTACTACATATCTTAGTGTCACATACCACTTTGAATCTTACCAACACTATTATGTCAAGTTTTTAAAGGTTACAAATTGCAAAATAGTTATAGAAAATAAAGGTTAAAATGAAAAAGAAAATAACATTAATTGGTATGAAGTAGTATATCATACAATATTATAGAAAAATTATATTTCAAGTAAAAAAAAGGAAAAACGGGCATGGTGGCATAGGTTTATAAACACAGTAATATTTGGGAGGATGGCATGGCAAAATTACAAGTTTAAGGGCAAAGACGTGTCTCAAACATATTAATGTAGGTAAGCAAAATAATCTTTAAACACTGACTCAGAATTTTTGTTTCTGAGTGCTCTGCATGTATACCTGCACACCAGAAGAGGGCATCAGATCTCATTACAGATGGTTCCAAACCACCATGTAGGAACTGAACTTGGGACCTTTGGAAGAGTGGTCAAGTTCTCTTAACCACTGAGCCATTCTCTCAGCCCAGAATTTTTGTAAAGATATTGAAAACACTGATTATTTTACCCCTATACTTCAAAGAAGGTGGTATGCACAATACTAGTGCAGGAAAGAAACCATCAATCTTATGCCTGTGTGAGCCACATGATCTATATGAATAGCCTGTCTGGCAAGATGGAACTGACTGGTACAACAGTGGAATAGCCCTGATGGCAGTGACCAGTCACTTTCTGATTGGGTTTAATGCCCAATCTACAGAAGAAAACCATATCTAGCACCACTGTAAGGCCTAAAGCCTGTGACTGGACAGATCATAAGCCCTAAAGGAAATCTACTAGTATTATTCTCCTAAAAGGACACAGTATTAAACTTAATTGTCAACTAGTAGAAGGATATACATCTAAAAATAAATGGCCAGCACAAACTGGACTAGATGGGTATAAAAGAAAGAGGACACAAGGCTAGGTTGACAGGGAAATGGGGGGTAGATTTGAAAGGAAATGGAAAAAAGGTGAACATGTTCAAAATAAAGTATGAAATCTTCAAAGAACTAATAACTTTTTAAATTATGCCTTTAAATAAACAGTAGTTTGACTGTAAAATAAAAATTGATCATTTTTTTTCTTATGTATACTTCTTATACCATTTCTTAAAAAATTTAGTATTCACTTTAAAAAGTCTGTATTATTTTACCCAAGTTACTCAATGTCATCATCTAAAGAATAATCATAATACTGTAACTCAAGAATGCCATAAAATTAATTAAGCCATATCCATAAAGTATATAATAGAGTGCCTAACAGGCGTTCTGACTGCCTAAGTGTGAGTGTATGTATGGGAGAGACTTACTAGATAAATGGGAGGAGATGGAGGGGGTAGCGAGAGAGAAAAGGAGAGGATAAGGAGCAGGAGAAAGAGGGAAGATGAGGGGGGAAAAGAGGAGAGACAGAGACAAAGAGACAAACTTGCAGAGTCTCCCTGTGTAGCATAGAACCAAACTAAAAAAACCCTACTTCATCCTCTGAAATGCTGGGAGATTACAGGTGTTCAGCACTATACAAGTCTAAAGATAAGATTTCAAGTTTGCAAATAGGAGATACATTCATAACAAATCTAAGAAAAGTTAAATTATAAATTTTATAAACACAGAAATACACACATATGGGGGAGGCAGGGTAGAAAGTAGGAATAAAATAAAGACTAAGCCCTGAAAGTGGGGGTTGTACCTGAAGACTTAGGGAAGGGAAAAAAAGAAACTCTGGGTGTACTGGGGGTGTTTTAGGTTGTTCAAACATTATACACACAGCTTCTCCGTATCTTTGCAATCCTTACTAGCAGCCCACTTAATGAGTATATACATTATCTGTGTTTTTTGACTTCTCTTTTTCATATTCTTTAGGTTGTGTTTTACTTTTGCTGATTCACTACAAAGGATATCTTAAAGGACAGAAATAAAGAGCCAGGCCTAGAAGGCCACAGGGTCAGGTAGGTTGGGAAGGACATGGTTGCCTACTCTTTCCAGGCATGCCACTCTTCTAGTACCTCCACATGTTCAGCAACATGCACATCTCTGCACTAGACATCTTTTGGTTTCTTACAGAGGCTTCATTAAGTTGAAGGCACTGATTAAATCAATGGTCATTGGGTACCAACTCACCCTTCAGTACCTCTCATCTCCCTGCTGATGAAGGTGGGCTTGAAGTTACAAACCTCTACAAAGTAGTTAGTTCACTGAGCAACTTGGAATCTCCCAGACATCAGACACCTCGTTTTACTACTTGTTTTTCATAGGAAGTAGAATATTCTACTTGGAACTAGTCATCCTCATGAATTATTTATGTATATTATGGGCATATAAGATTAGTCTTAGTATTTCTGCCATGTTCTAATAGTCCTTATTTCCTTAATTTTTAATTTTATGTTAAGAAATTCAGTGTGTAAAACTAATAGTGACTTATTTTAAGAAAGAGTGTGCCTGAACCACATACAATCTTTCTGTGTTAGCCTCCCAAGTGCTGGATATGAACACATGCCACCACATCCAACTAAAACCATTCATCTTTAAATTCACAATTAGCACCTGACTATATTAGTTCCAAGTTTTTACCATTTATAGCTAAAGTTATACTACAGTTCTCACATTTCCACATCAAATTCTGTATTTATATCCTCTTCTTCCAACTGAGAGACCTTTCCAGTTCATACATTTATTACCCAGGAATTCCCATATTCAATTTTTCTCTTCTCCAATCAGTCAACACTGATCAAGAATATGTTCTCCCTCCCCATCAAACCTTTCCTTTGTTTCTTATCACTGCTAACATGTCAGAAGAAACATAGAAACATAATAAATTCTACAAAGACAAAAAGGGGTTCTAGACCTCAGACAACTTCTGGAAACCTTACATTCTGTCCAAACATGTGCACAAAATTCTCAAAGGCATGTTGGGTTTTGTTTTTATGAAACTGAAAAATAACAAGAAACGGTACTAACCATGTATAGAGTCTATGCCATAGCCCAAGAAGATGAAAGCACCCTGGTGAGTAACAGAGAAAAACTTGCTTACTTCTGAGTTGGGATTTCTGAATAAACTATTGTTACCATATATTTTGTGGAAAGAGTATAATAAAAACAATGTCAAAGACTCACCCAAGAAATTAGGATAGAGATGGTCAATATTGTCCACAACATAATTACACTTGGGACATCTATTATTATTGTCCTCCAAACTCTGATGAATACACTTGTAGCTATTAGCATGGGGGGAGAAAAAAACAAAAACTTAATTAAAACAATGAAGAAATTAACAAACTGGTCACAAAACACTGTCTATTAGTGTTCTCACTTAAAACATAACAATATAGCCAATTTATTCCCACTTATATCCTTGTATAGCAAACGAAATACATAAAGCACCTATTGACAGAGCAACATATAAACTATTTCAGTTATAAACAATATATAAACTATTCCTAAATAAACTCAAAAAATTCTGCATGTAACATCAAATGTAAATGAGGACTAAGTAAGTTTTAGGTTATGCATTTATATTATATCCTAGGAAAGCAAATGCCTATGGTCTAATTAGTCTTGGGAGTACTAATATCTTTGTATCACGGAAAGAGTTCAAACAAACAAAAACTCTAAGTACTCAAGCAAAGACAAAAATCAAGTCGAGGAGAATGAGAAAATCATCACCTTTACTATAGCGATTCAAAATTATGTATTAATTTTTACTAAGAGGAATGGAAAAATAAAATATTTCTATACTCCAGAAGACATAACTGTAAATAACTGAAGGAAATGCAACCAGTACAACTTTCCTAAAAGGTATATGCAAGAAAAATCATAAGGTTTTATATTCCTTTTAATATGGTAAATTTTATTTATAGGAGCTTAATATAGGGGAAAATATATGCTATAATGCAGAGTTATCTAACAGCAACATAATAGCAAACTTTAAGAGGAACAACCTAAACTACACATACAAATTGACTAAATCTGTAATTATCAATTCAGTACAATGGTATGCTGGCAATGAAAATCTTATTTTACCTATGTATATATCATATTTTATTTATTAATAAATTATTATAAAATGTATTGACATATAATATGTATTTCGCATATACTATAGGAAATGCTTTTTCTTATATTTTTGTGGTACACTACTTTTTAAAAATGCTAATTTTTCTTAGTACTCTGACAGTCAGAGGCATATGCAATGGATCAGAGGACAACTTTGTGGAGTAGATTCATTCCTTCCACCTTTACATGACTTCTGGAGATCAAACTAAGATTGATAGCTTACATAACAAAACAATTTGCACACTGAGCCATCTTGCTGTTCGAATAATGGACCTTTTATAACTATGTATTACCTTGCAAAAATAAATAAATAAATAAATAAATAAATAAATAAATAAATAAATACTCTAAGTATTGTTCAACCTTACCTAAAAATATCAAACTGACATGGGGAAAACATCATTACATCATACATACACACACACACACAAATTTTAAATAAACTAAAAACACATTTACAATGTTAGTTAACAGTATTTCTGTCTGTAGGTAAGACATACTTTGTAGATATTAACTCAAATTTCTATTGTAAGCGTATATTACTTTGACAATCAGAAAAAAATTTCTAAGAAATCAGAAAGGTAAAAAATCATTTCTAACACAAAGAAAACATACCTTTTCTGTCCAGATTATTATTTACTTCACCTTTAAACTGAAGCTGATTTTTTTTTTTATCTAGCTACCCTTCCATCCATGAAGTTTCACTGTTCTATTTTTCTACTACCTTCATTTCACATGTGTTAATTTCAGGACAAGCAAGAAGAGGAACTCTTTTTGGCATAGTACAGTGGCCTAAAATTTGGAGTAATTGTCTATCCATAATACAGACTCTAGTATCTACTAAACAAATGATAATGAACACTGTTCTAGAAATACTATCATCACTTCCTGCAACAACAGCAAGACTATGATTAGCATATTACCACCAGATATACTCCAAATCTGACTAGACACTTCCTATATGGACATATCAATAAAGGAAATAACATTAAATGTTTTTGTTTTCATTTTCATTAAGGACACATGAGGAGGAATACAAATACAGCAGACAAAGAATTCAATGTGGAAAAGGTTTTCTTAAAGAAAAAGGAAATGAATGACTGTCATCAGGAAATAAACATAAAAATGTTAGACTTTTATCAATAAATTTAAATAAAGCCAGTTATGAAGGAGGAACCTGGGGGAGGGTATAAAAATGAGAGATATTGACAGATAAAATGAGAATGCTTTGGATGTTAATAATAAGCTTCCAGTTTTTAAAAAATGAACCAATAAGCAACAAAAAGCTAGAGCAATAGTTCTCAACTGAGGGACCACAACCCCCTGGGGTCACACATCAGAGATCCTGAATATCAGATATTACAATTCATAAAGTAGTCAAATTAGTTATGAAGTAGCAGTGAGATAATTTTATGGTGTGGTCACTACAACACGAGGAGCTGTATTAAAAGGGTTGCAGCATTAGGAAGGTTGAGAACCACTGTTCTAAAGGCTGATGACATAGTTAATAGTAGAATGCTTGTGTAACACTAGTAGAATATTTGTGTAACACTCGCAAGGCCTGGGTGAACAAACTCCAACAACACAAAAATAAATAAAAATATAAATGAAACAGAACAAGTTGTAAAATCAGAAATCTTGTCAACATATTCAAATTTATAATATTATATGTTAAAAAAACAACTCAAGTTCTGTGACATCCACTATATTCCATATAAATAAGCTGATTTCCATACTTTCCCTTCAAGAAATTAAAAAAAAAAAGCTCTGGGATAGAGCCAAAAAGAATTGTCCTTGCTAATGAACGTGCAACTGACTTTTCATACTGAACTTGAAACTATCACTCTATACTAAAAAAAAGTTAAGGTGCAGCAACTTACATACAACTATATAAAACTAGGTGACAATCAACCCTTTCTCTCATTAAAGGCAAATATTTGTTTTGCTTTTCTGGGTGCCATTAGAGTCTAGTATGATACCCTGAGTGGGAAATCAATAAATATTGAATGCATGAAGGAAGAGATGTAACGAAAATGTAGCATACATTCTGCTGCTTACCATGCTATATAAAAACATCATCTATAAAAGTCATATGGAAATATACTAATCTGCTAGCTAATAAAAATCACAGTTTAATTTTTAAAAATCTGAAACTAACAGAACAGATAATTCTTTTGGGTGATATTTGAACACACTGTGAACCCCAAGTTAACATTTGCATTAATTAAATAAAATTAACCTTGGGTCAGGAGGCTGAGTTAGCAACTAGTTGACAGAAAGTAATCACAGAGCATCAGAGGGCATCTGGAAGAGATGGAGAGATGCACAGAAGTATTAGGGAAGGATTTTGAGTGGTGCAGCTTTGTTTGTTTTGGCAGAGTGGAAGAATGTGCTTTTTGGGAGATACCAGCAAAGACAGAAGGTTAGCTAGTCTATTTGACCTCTCTGAGCTAGCAGGTTTTCACCCCAGCCTTTAAATCTCAAATCTTATTTATCTATAGAATGATAGAGATTTAGTTAAAGCTACCTTAAGTAGAAAGGACAGAGCCAGTGCCTGCAGGAACAAAATTCCCACCAGGCCTGGCAACGCTGCCAGAGAAGCAGGTCAGTAACTGCAGAGCTGCAATGGCTGGCTGAAATAACAGCCACTGTGCTTAAGATAAAATAATATAATACGGCTCTCAGAGGCCATAAGTTATTAAACAAAAGTCTGACTGCCACCTCTATGTGAGTAATTAGTCAGAAAGGTCCCTAAGGCCCCCAAGACAATGCAGGCTGACACCCCTGCTCTTCATTGCCTACCAGACTAGATGATAAGACCCTAATGCTGAAAAATACCACACACAGGTCAAAGGACAAAGAAATCAAACTGGAATTGTGACATAAGTTTTTCTTCCTTCTCACTAACATTTATAGTAGTAGAAGGCATTACACAGATTCCTGGGGTAGAAAAGTAACGAAAACTCTTATCCAGCTGTGAAACTTTTGAGCTACAATAACAAGATGTGCCTGCATGTGCCAATAGTAGCATATCTGCTATGGGGGTAATTGTTTTCTTTGGGTTTCATGCCTGCTGCACAGTATGAATTCATGCAGGGCATTATATATCTGGTCAAAAGCCCATACATTGGGGTGGGAGGGAGTAACTGGACCTAGGAGGAAACCTACTATTGTTGTTTTGCTATATGGACATGATGTCAAAATGATTTCTAAATAATTGTTTATGCCCATGTAGTAGTGCTTCTCTCAGCTTTGGTCAAAGATGCTTCTCTTTGTAGTGGGTTACAGTTAACTAAAGACTTGTAGCTGGTTAAACTGCTAAAAATAAGTAATTTTTAAATGATCAACCATAAAAATGACATGTTTAATCCTCCCCACCCGAATCTTAAAGAACGTGGAAAAAGAGACAGTGACAGGAAAGAAAGAGTACTGTGAAATGCTGTCTTTTGGACATGACACAACTTATGTACCCCAGATCTTATAACAGCAGTGGCCACATACACAAAACCTCTAAAAGACTGGAGCAGATGGGGAACCGACACGTAACTTCCTAAGTTTTTTTCCAGGAATTGTAGGCGATGAAGGATAGGAGGTACATACAGATCACAGTCACTGAAGTTGTAACCACGAGTAAGCTGCCCTTGCTTAAGTAAATAACTGCCTGCCCATGTTCATTCAGGCACCCCTTATTAAATGCAGCGGGGCCACAAAGGAAAGAAGATGTGAGCCTGAGAAAAGGACTAGCAGGGATGTGGAGAGTTGTTGAGGACAGGAGGGAGGTAAAAGGAGAATGCAATCATAATATATACATGAATAAAATTTTCAGATAACCAAACTAATCGATAAAAAATGAGAAATAAGACATGCAAGTAGGAGGAGGACTTTCTGGTAGAAGAGATCTGGTAGGAAAGAAGGGATAAGAGTGTACAATGGGGAGCATATTATTTGTGTATGAACTGTGAAAGAATAAATAAAATTTCAAAGAAAATTGAAAAATAACATGGCAAAGTATTTTGGAAAAAAAAATGTAATCCTTAACAGTGAAATATTCTGAAAATGTAGAAAAAAACGACTGAGAGAGACATTTACAGTCTGTAGCCCATCATTCTATGATAAAAGTTGCTGTTCTAAATCAAGAATATATATATACATATATAGTGCTATAATTTTATGTTTATGGAGGACATAAATAATACAAATTAAGAAAGCTAACTAACTCAACTAACCCTGAAACATCATACTCCAGATCAAAGGCCTCACCTACTGGTAACTCAAGGATATCTACCTGTCAAATGTCATGCTCACTCATTTTCAACATAAATTACAGGCACAACATTCAATATAGACTGAAGAAATATTAAGGTTAATCTTACATGTTAACAGGATGCACAAATAATTCATGAACATGGTTGATTCAAAGTAGAATGTGCTACTTCTAAAGGAAAAAACAAACAAACAAACGAACAACAAAAAAAAGGTGTCTGATGTCTGGGAGATTCCAAGTTGCTCAGTGAACTAACTACTTTGTAGAGGTTTGTAACTTCAAGCCCACCTTCATCAGCAGGGAGATGAGAGGAACTGAAGGGTGAGTTGGTACCCAATGACCATTGATTTAATCAGTGCCTTCAACTTAATGAAGCCTCTGTAAGAAACCAAAAGATGTCTAGTGCAGAGATGTGCATGTTGCTGAACATGTGGAGGTACTAGAAGAGTGGCATGCCTGGAAAGAGTAGGCAACCATGTCCTTCCCAACCTACCTGACCCTGTGGCCTTCTAGGCCTGGCTCTTTATTTCTGTCCTTTAAGATATCCTTTGCAGTGAATCAGCAAAAGTAAAACAACCAAGAAAAGATGAATACCAAAAAGAACTGGAAGCAGAGTCCTGCAGAAGTTTTTATACATGCATACTGTAGCATTGTGAAACAGAGTTCTCCTCATAGGTTCATATATTTGGCATTGTTTGGGGAAGTAGAGAGGTCCATCTTTGCCAAGAAAAATTCTATCATTGGTGGAGGGCTTTTAGTGTTAATAATCTCTCCCTATTTACTGTTCCCTCTCTCTGTTTTGAGTTTGCATTTGAAAATATGAGCTCTCAGTTTCCTGATCCTGCCACCATGCCTACTGCTTGCTGTCATGCATCCCCAACACAAAGTACTCCCATCCCTCTGGATTGGGAAACTCTTGACTTTTCTATCATAAGCTGCCTCTGGTCATGGTGTTTTATCACAGCAACAGAAAAGTAATTAATACACACATTCTTGGCAGCATTATTAACAGGAACCAGGAGGTTGAATCAACCTAATCTTCATAGATGGTTGAATGGATAAACAAAATGTCACCTGTACATACAACAGAATACTATTTAACTTAAAAGATAATTTGTCACAATAGAACACAGAAGAATGCAAAGGACATTATGTGAAGTAATTCACACATAGAAAGACACATATGATCTGTGGTGGTTTAAAAGGGAGTGGCCCTAAAAGGAGGTGTGGCTTTATTAGAGTGGGCAAGTCCTTGTTAGAGGAAGTGTGTCATCGTGGCGATGGGCTTTGAAGTTTCCTATGCTCAGGACACAGCCAGTATCTCAGTTGACTTCCTGTTGCCTGCAAGACATAGGGGTCTTAGCAGTCCACCTACATGCTGCCATGCCCCCACCCTAAGGATAATTGGTTGAACCTCTAAAACTGCAAGCCAGCCACCCCAATTAAATGTTTTTCCTTTATAAGAGTTGCCATGGCCATGGTGTCTCTTCACAGCAATAAAATCCCCAACTAACACATGATCTAAGTACACATATATGGGGGGGTATCTAGAACTGGCAAACTCACACACACAGAAAGTGGAATAGTGGCTTTTGGGAATTGCAGAGATGAAAAGTGAAGCATTATTTTAAAAGGTATACAGTTTCAGTTTTAACAAAAGAACAAGTCCTAGAGACTACACAACAATGAACATAGAATAGATAGCACAATGTAACTTTATATATCAAGATGGGTAAGACCGTAAATTCTATGTTATTTTACAATTGAAATTTTAAATATATCAGTGTAACACAATATAGCCTAAAGACAATCTATAAAGTGTTAACAAAGAGAGAACAGGACTTTTTAATTCACTCCACCTTTTTTCTGTTTGTGCCCACCTGTTTTATGGATCTCCGCGCCATACTCCTGAGTAACTAGTATCTCATGCTTAATAATTGGTTACCCACCTTGATTTTCTAAAACACCATCATTTCTGCTAACATAATAAACACAAGATTTTCAAGCCTATATTTCATAGATGTCATCTATTAAACACATTTTATATCTTGAACTGTCAAACCTGTAAAGACCTATCAGTTGAAGAAACAATCTAAAATTAAACAATCTAAAGTTAAAGAACATAACATCTTGTCAGTTGCACTTATATTGAATGAAGATCATCTTACCAAAAGCTGTGGCCGCATTTTGTCATGTACGCCTCCTCAATCATATCAAAGCAGATGGGGCTACAAAGAAAAGAGAAAAATCAATCACCACTAAATGTTCGTTAAGGCAGAGTACTACATGTTGGAAAGGGCTAGTGACAGAGTTAATCAAATCAAATTTAATGTATAGCTAGGAGTTAAGTAGTCTAATTTTCTCAACAGAAATTTACAGGACTATTAGTGAAAAGTAAAATATTCAAGCTGACCCAGAAAGCAATAAATTCTAAAGTAAATGCAGTGAATACACTTAAATTATTCAAACATTAACCTAGCCTATATATGAGGTCCCGATGTGAGATAAATTTTGATTCCAATTCTCCTCTTCCTATAGAGGATCAAAATAATACTCAAAATTCCAGCATTCTTTGCAGGTAAGATTGGCCATAAAGAGTATGATTAATGGATATAGGGTTATAGGTAGAACAAGTAACTTATATAGTCTATATCATAACATGATAAGTATAGTTAACAAAAGAAACTAATGCCAGGCATTGGTGGTGCACACCTTTAATCCCAGCACTCGGGAGGCAGAGGCAGTCGGATCTCTGTGAGCTCGAGGCCAGCCTGGTCTACAGAGTTCCAGGACAGCCTCCAAACAATACAGAGAAACCCATCTCAAAAACCAAAAAAAAAAAAAAAAAGAAAGAAAGAAAGAAAGAAAGAAAGAAAGAAAGAAAGGAAGAAAGGAAAAGAAACTAAACATTTTTAATTGGCAAGACAGAACACTCTGAACGTTCCTACCACAAAGAAATGATAAACACCCAAGGTGACAGACATACTAAATTGTCATTACATATACACATGTACTGAAAAACTGCACTCTAAGTATACAAAATAACTATGTGTCAACTAAAATAAAACATAAAGGGTGTTAGGGTAGCTCAGTAGGGAAAACATCTGCTTTACAAGTAAGAGGACCTGAGTTCCATTCTCAAAGTCATGTAAATGTGTGTGATTTGTAATACTGAGCCAGGGAGGCAGAAATAGAATATCTGGGGCTCCCTGGATGGCTGGTCTAGTCTAATTGGTGAACTCCCAGCAAGAAGACTGTTTCAAATAAGGTAATCAACAATCCTAAAGATGATATTCAGTTCTCTGGTGTGAACACACACACACACACACACACACACACACACACACACACACACCTTTAGAAAGGTCCCTAGGCAAAATATATTTTCAATTGTTATCTTCTTTGTGTACATGTGTCTACCCACATTAATTTTGGATATGTCGCCAGCCAAAACAAAATGCTATACTTCTCTCTCTAAACTAACACATATTTTGCCTTATATCATGCACATGAATTATACCTAAAAATCAGACCAGTGGCTCTTATAAATGCTTATATTTTAGTATTTAACTTTGTTGATTTAAATTGCCACAGTCCAACTGCACAAGATCAGGAATAAAATGATGAGGGAGCTATTATTTAAACCCTAGGTATTCAACAGAGATCCTAGAAGGGTTAGTAGGAGTACAGCCTATCGGGCTTTAATAAAGAATTAGTTACTGAAACCTGCCTTCAAAGTGTTGCTTAATTTTAATTAAAAAAAAAAACCAAAAAAACAGAAAGACCAAACTGGTCTTCAAGTTAGCAATGTCTGCCACCAAAGTAAGAGTGAATGTGCAAGTGTGTGTGTGTGTGTGTGTGTTCACACCAGAGAACTGAATATCATCTTTAGGATGGCTTCATGCTAGGCACCCAAATGAAAATATAACCTATGAACAGGAGGAAAAACAGACAATAAAGAAGAGAGATTGATTACAAAGAAATGTCTTAACAAATATTTCTAAAACTGCCAGTGGCTACAGGGAACCATAACACAATATTGCCACTAGCAGTCTGCATTCCACCCGCAGGGAGCTCCACTTAGATAAAGGCTGATCCTTGGCTCTGCAGCTACAAAAACTTCAAGATGAACTAGGGTTAAGCAAAGTTAGTGGGTTTACTAAATAATTGCTTAGAGAGCCATATAGGAAAAGGACAATATACAATCCTATACCATGGGTGCAGGTTTCTCCAGAGAATTCTGCTTGAGAATATGCCATTACAGCAGCTATATATGTGATCCTGTAGCTTTCTAAGTTACATTCTTCAAAGGATGTAATTTATAAGTTTTAAAGGTTAGGTAAGACTTAAATTTTAAGTTTAAAAATTAAGAAAAAATTATGAACTACTTTATATTTCTTTTGTTTTGTTTGTTTTTCAAGACATAGTTTCTCTGTATTATTTTGGAGCCTGTTCTGCAACTCACTCTGTAGATCAGGTTGGCCTCGAATTCACAGAGATCCGCCAGCCTCTGGCTCCTGAGTGATGGGATTAAAGGTGTGTACCATCAAAGCCTGGCTACTTTATATTTCTTTACATACTTCTAAAGAACTTCATTTTGGTTTTATGAGATCATCATTTAGATTTAGATTAGATATGGTAAAACCCTAGGCTGCATGTAAACACAGTTTATTTGTATAGTTTAACATCCTTGCATGAGATGTCTGTAGGAAAACACACTATCTTTCTATGCAATTTTGACACTGTAAGTTGTTGAAGTTTCTTGGCTTTCAGTCAGCAAGAAAGGCATACAGATTCTAGGGTTAATGGGACTTCTCATGTCACCTTAATTGTCCCTGCCATTTTATCCTGTGAAAATTACCCACAACTTAATGCTGTCAATCTATTGTAAGATATATAAGACTACAAGCTATAAATATCTAAAATGTCAATCAATCCTACAATTAAATGTAAACTTTTTTTCAAATATGAAATTGGGTATGTGACTTTATTTAAATAACTGTCTCAAGAAGGCTTGTAGAGGGGAGCATGTCCTCATCTTCTGCCTCCCACCCAAGCCTCCCATTGTGATTTGTCTTAGAATGGGGACAGCAGGGGGAGAAGTGGCTAAGGAGGAAAAACATTATGAAGGAAAACAGCTTCTTACCTCTAATCAAGCCCATTTAAGAACCACTGGAGAGTATGCCAGAACTCACAAGAGCTCAAGCTTTCGTACCACATAAAGGGAAGTACTGACCTGAGACTCCAGATCTCATTTTGTCCATTAGCTATCCCACTTAAACAGCAGGTAAAAATCATTGTACTGGTGTTATATCTCCTTACAACTACTGTAAGAATAAAATGAAATGTGAAATATCTTTACAAAGGTGCTATCAATGAGTAAAAACTTTTTTGAACTTAAACCTCATTTTGATATAAAAGACTACAGTAATTTGAATTGGTTCACAGTCTGACACAGTATAGAAAAAGACAAAAACACCCAGAGACCAATTAGGAAAGAAAAGGGGATTGCTAAGACTACCTAATACATATCCTACTCCAAGAGTCTGAAAAAATTTAAACATAGTTTAGCAAGTGCAAAATACATTCACTGATTAACTCTTTGAATAGCCAATCTCACCAGAAAGAAAAATGGGAGATTCTTAGTGAAAATATTAGTAATTTTAACTAAAAACATTCATTGGGCCGGGTGGTGGTGGTGGTGGTGGCGCACGCCTTTAATCCCTGCACTCGGGAGGCAGAGGCAGGCGGATCTCTGTGAGTTCAAGGCTGGGCTGGACCGACAGCCTCCAAAACAATACAGAGAAACCCTGTCTCGTAAAAACCAAAAAGAAAAATAACAACAACAACAAAAAAACATTCATTGGATATTTTCACACTAGAATATAAAATGTAATACCTATACAACATAGGATAAGGGAGTAGGATGAATTCTTTTTATTTATTTTATGGGTTTGTATGGGTACTTTGCCTACAAGTACGTCTATGTACCACCACCAACATGCCTGGTGCCTATGGGGCCTAGAGAAGGGATTAGATCCCCTGGAAATGGAGTTACAAACGGTTGTGAGCTGCCGTGGAATCAGACCCCAGCCTTTTGGGAGAGCAAGTGCTCTTAACCACTCAAGTCTCCTCTCAAGCTCCTAGACTTAATGACCTTTTTATACAGTCAGGTGATGAACTGTATAAAAAAATCATTAGTTTCACTCCTTAGCTGACTAGCTTTAACTGTCAACACAATCTAGAAACCCCTGGAAAGTATCAACCAAGGGACTGTCTAGATCAGGCTGACCATAGCATGCCTGTAGGTTTTCTCCATTCTTAACTGGTGTTAAGACGACCCAAGCCCACTGTGGGCAGCAGTATCAGGTTTGGAGTCCTGAACTGTACAGGAGTGGAGAAAGCCAGCTGAGTCACAGGCAAGAAAGCTAGCAGCATGGAACATTCCTCCCTCTGCTTGACTGTGGATGCGACTCTCTTAAGCTCCTGCATTGATCTCTCCACAATAATGAACTGTAACTGAAATTGTGAGCCAAATAAATCTTTTCTTCACTAAGCTGCTTGTAGTCAAGGTATTTGTCACAGCAACAAAAATGAAACTAGGACACACCTAAGAACAAAAGCAAGTGCCAGCTGCTTCGATTCACCACCAGTTCCCTACAGCCTAGCCTGTTTACTCTCAGAGGGTTCAAAGTCAATGTCTAAATTATATGTTGAATAACTGACTTCTCACTTTTTACACCTTATAAATGACCTAAGGATGCTGGCATGTTTGTTTTCTTTTACTTTTTTGAAAACTGAAACCCAAATAATTGCTAAAAATTAAATTCTACAAGCTGCCTATTTGTTTTACTAGTTTCTGCCTTATCATGTGACAGTACTGACTGGACATGAATGCAAACACCTCAGCTAGGCAGGCAGTGGTAGGTAGCACAGCTTTAATCCCAGCGCTTGGGAGGCAGAGACAGGCAGATCTCTGAGTTCAAAGCCAGCCTGGTCTACAGAGTGAGTTCCAAAACAGCCAGGGCAACACAGAGAACCCTGTCTCAAAAACAAACAAGCAAACAAGAATGCAAACATCTCTTAGATCCAACCATATACTGTTTAAATTGTATATAAATAATCACAACCATTTGTGTTTCAACAAGTGTTACTTTTGAATCTAAACAAAAGCAGAAATACAAGTTGTATTTCTGAACAAGCAATATCCAATATCTCTCTCAATGGTTACAATCTCTAGCCCTATAATACTTAATAATACCATACAAGGCCAACTCTAAAGTGAACCAACTTCCCCAAGAATAGTGTTCAAGCCAGCTTTCTACATCATAAATATTAAGTTAATCAACAAGTCCCTTCACAGGAAATGCCCAGCCAGGATTCTACTAGTTTTTGAGCAGGAATGGTTAATTAAGCTCTCTTTATCCTACAACTAGTAATTAAAACTCAAAAAAAATTCAAGACAATCAGATTCATATTTTGCTTAAAGCCCCTCTTAGATGCCAAATAACTGAATCCTACTGTGTCTTTCAAGGTGGCAGATGTGCTGTAATGACTATACAAGTTGTTTCTCAAGTCAGAAGTTCCAGTATATATACACGGCGCTGTAGTAGTGCCGTGCAACACTGAACATTTTTTAATAAATGTGTTTCCCTCATTACTATAGTTGAAACGTGGAAATGGTCGTTGAACGAATTTTGACTACATTATTACCAACGATAGAATTACAAGTGTCCTGCCCATTCAAATAGGAAACATTTACACATATCCACACCCAATGGGTACTTAAAAAGATTAATCTGTGGGTGTAAAACACCCACAACCGTATTTCGAGCATCATCTACTGTATTTAGAATAGAGTCTAGCCAGCAATTCCATCCCTCAGAATTCCAGACAGTAGTCGTCTACCTCTTAAAACCTAATTCGCATGAACTACTCCAGACTTGATGCCTAATCCACTAAATGGCCAATAAATAAATAAATAAATAAATAAATAAATAAATACATTCAAGATCCAAACTACTGGCCCAAATATTTCCTATACTACATAGCCACTTATTGGCTATCCTTAGGCAGTCCCTTACATGCCTTCAGTTCCTGGACACCAGCACCCACATCAGCGTAACCCCATTTTATCACTCTGCCTCGTGATCCCAGTCCACCTCCACCTCCCAACCACACTCAACTCGAACCCCAGCACCACCAAGCTCGGCTCTCCAACAGGCCTCCCCACACCGGACCCTGCCAGCTTGAGCATCACACACTCGTGGTCGAGCGTGCAGGGGCAGCTCTGCGAACCCACCAGACGAAGTCGTTGCTTTTGTCCTCGTAGGAGTTGTGGATCCCGTTGCAGAGCGGGGCAAGCAGAGGTCGCTTTCTACTGCTGCTGCTGCCCAGGCTGGAGCTGCTCCCTCCAACACCGGCGCTGGGCCTGGCCGCGCAGCTGAGCCGGGAGAGGCCCGCGGACACCGCCCCGCCGCCGCTCGCGCTGCCGCTGCCGGACACCGCGGCCGCCACTAGCACAGGCCGCCCCGGGCCGCCGAGGCCGCCCGAGCCCGCGGCCGGAGCCGCCCCGCCAGACACCAGCGTCGCCGCCGAGGCCGCCGCAGAAGGCGGCGACGGAGACGAGGATAACGACGAGGAGGCGGAAGTCACCGAAGAGGCCGCCGAGGAACCGGGGCTCGTCCCAGCGGAACCCGAGCCGGCCTGGCGGCTACCTGACATCGTGCCTCCCTCCTCCCTCCCTCCCTCGGCCCTGCGCTCTGAGGCGAGGGCCGGGACTGACCGCGACCCTCCGCCGCCCCCGGCGCTCAGCCCCCGAGCATCCTGAGGACGCGCCGGGAGGTGGGCCGGGGGAACAATAAAGTTGGGCTCTCCACCGCCGCCCCACCGCCGCGTCCTACGCGAGGGGGCGGGGGAAACTATCACATCAGAGGAGCCATTACTGCCGAGGAAGCCGCCGGGCTAGCCAACCCGGGCGCGCCGAGGCGGCCGTGCTTGCGCACGAGCGGCGGAAGGGGCGGGGCACCCGGGGCAGCTGCGCACGCAGCGCTGAGCTGTACGGGGAGGCCTAGTGTCTGCTCCTGCGTGTGGAGAGCTGAGCCCGTTCCTGACGCAGTACAGGGGTGGCCGTTTTAATGGTCAAAGGGTGGAAGGGAGTGAAGTGACGGGAGAAGTAGCCGGCTTGGTCTGGAGGACCAGGAACGCTCGAAAAGCAACTGCTTACGCGTCCCCCGGCGTGGACGCTGGCGGATTGCTCTACTAAACCTGAGGCGGGCGGGGCGGTGCAGTAAGGTCTGCGCATGCGAGCGAGTGGGCGCGCTTGCGGATCTAGACTGAGAACTACTGAGATTGCTCCTCGAAGTCTCTCTCCTGAGGTTTCGCGTTGTTGCTCAATGGTGTGGCAGGTGGCAGGAATATAATTTGTGTTTCTGCCCTTGTTTAGCTTCAGAAGTCCTAAAAAAAAAAAGTAGGGGCCCAACCAGGTCAGTGAAAAGGGTTATGGGGTTTCAAACATTTTATGATACCAGAAATTATTTGACTCATGTTCCCCTTGTCACTTATCTAAATTATCTCTAATGTTTGGTAAAATCTCTTTAACAACTCCTGATTTGTTTTCATAGAAGCCACAAACCTAGTTCCGAACAAAGCCCTCACCAGAAATTGCAAACTAAGCCTAAACCTTGCTGGTTTGGGGCGGGGGGAGGGGGGGAGGAGGACTTATTTTGCTAGAGACACCTTCTGGACATGGACATATGAAGGGAAAACTCACGGTGTCTAATGTCGCATCTGTCTGATGACTTATTTGTTGTCCCATTTTTCCTCAGATTACGGACTGCTGTCTTGAGATAGGTACTGGCATTGCCTTTGCCTTTCAGTGTCTCGGTTATTGTAAACCTTTGGGCCACCTCGCTGAGTTGAGGGTCATCAACCCTGCAAATCCCTCTCGCTTTTGAAGTTTTGGAGGGTTTTTTTTTTTCTGTGTGTGTGTGAATTTTCAGTGCTGAGTAGCAAAAGCCAAATGTAATGCCCTAACATTTTTCCGAAGTCATTGGGTCAAAAGAGGGTGTAAGTTGTGAAACTTTTTTCTTATGTAATCTCTCAAAAAATGCCCCGGGACTTTTTAACCCTGAAAAACCTCCATGGTCTTACACAAATTAGTGATTTTTTGAGCGGCACCCCAAATTTCAGTATTAACGTACAGGTAAAAATGTTTAGGGCCTGGAAACCTGTGTATACAATGGGGTCCCAATCAGGGTGCTTGGATAAAGCTGCCTCTAAAACAAGACCAAAAAGACCTTCCCTGCCTCCACCCAATATCTTCTCTTTCATCTGAAGTAAAGAGTCAGAGGGAGTTGCTGGCAATCTTCCCAGGTGGCAAGCACAGATCCCAGAAGGGCAGTTAGGGCTTGGGCTTATCAGAAAAATGTGGGTCTGGGTCTTCCAGTTACAAAGATTTGAAGCAGAGAAAGAAACAGAAAAGGATGACACCCTACCCCTAAGTCAGCAATTCTCAACCTGTGGGTCTCAGACACCTGGGAGGGCCAAAATTTCCTGACCCAGGTGCCAGGGACCACTTCACATGACAGGAAGACAAATGGCTAACAACAGCACACAGAAGGAGTCACCTACCAGCAGAATCCTGAGAAACTGGTAGAATTTTAATCAATGAAGTTAACTAGAGTGAGTACAGGCCTTTTTGGGAGATGAGACAAAACAACAGAAACAAAATCAAGAAAGCAGAAAACTTTCTGGGTCAAACTTCCCCCTCATTCATAGCCATTCATACAGTTGGCCAGCCATTTTTTTCAAGCAAAATCGAAACCATATGTCTCGTTCAGTACAGAACCCGGATACAGGAATTCCGTTATTGGCCTCCAAACTTAGTGTGGGAGGACTGTGTTGAGTGTAGGATAAGAAAACATTCAAGTAAGCATAACCACGCAATGATTGAAAACACAGTCTAAGATCAACACATGAGAAATATTTGGAAATTAGTAAGAGGATACTACAGCAATCCTAAGTAGTTCTAAAGGCTGATTGCTTGATAAACTATGTTATATTGTTATAGCAAAATATCCAATGTGGGCTGTTTGTTGAAAAGATTTATTCATAGTTTGAGAGACTGAAATTCCAAGATTGGGTAGCAATATCTGACTCACTTCTAGTGGCTATGTCACAATCTGACCGAAGGCCGAGAGGGAAATAGTCTGATGCAAAGGAGCCCAACAAACATTTGTGGTGGGCTTGCTTTATAACCATCTGCTCTTGAGAGGATGGCTTGTTCTCCCTAAGACCACCATCGATCCCTCTCCAGCCAGTACCTACATGTTATTCACTATCCCCTCCCTCTCAAAGGTTCTGTCACCCCAACACAACCCGGGACTAGTCTCTCTTTTGTAAAATCACTCAAACCATACTAAAGCCATAGTTAGAAAATTTGCTGTGACCATGATTCTCTAACACTGGTGTAGAGAAGAAACATCCATATGGCTTACTTTAAAACTATAAATTCCTGAATTCTACCACAAAGATTCTAACTCTGGTGTAGAGCCTGTGACTATGCATTCCCCAATATCCAAATGAGCTAATGCAGGTAACACTGTGCGTTAAGAGTCTCTTTAGCTACATGATGAGAATCTGTTTTCAAACAAAACAAAAATGAAAAGAAGTGTAAAACTCTGGTTAATAATGTAGGGAATATAAGAGAAATGAAGTAATCTCTTCCAGGGGTGTATTCCAAGGGGGAGAGGTAATACAATACAACATGTCTCCTAGGCACAAATCAAGAGGACTTGAAGCCTATCTTCAGTAAAATCTGAAGTTACAAAAGGAAGCTTGGTAAGTATGATGCAATTTCCCTTCATACTAGATAAATAAGTAAAAGTACACAATAATTTCTGTTGGTAAGACCTGTTGGGAAAGCAGAAAAGAGGAAGCATAGTGCATGAAAATGCATGAATCACATAACACAAGGAAGCAAGACAACACAGGAGAAACAACAAATAGAATAGTTGAAAAAGTAACCATACTAAGCCCAAATATTTATTAGAATACCATAATGCTAACTATTTAGTCCATGAACTGTAAAAAAAATACAGAGTAAAGACAAAATCCAAAATCTAGCAAAAGGAATGAAGGTAGAATGGAATGATTGACAAGAGATTTGAACATTCTGAATGTGTTCCTGAGATAAAATACGAAATACACTATTTTAACGAGACAAGAGTGCTGGTTTCAATCTGCGGCAGGTTCTGTCCTTTGCAAACAACCTCTGTCTATATCCAGAAGGTCTCCACAAAGTTTCATCTGCCAGACCCACCTAGAAGAACTGGGGCCTGATTGCCCTGAGACTGTTAATCAGGTCTATCAGAGAACAACAGCTTCCCCATGATTTCTTGCGTTGATGTGGTATACTTGACATGCATTGATGTTGTGAAAAAGACATAGGATTAAAATGATAAATTGAGAACCATAAATTGGTACCTACCTATAACCTGAGGAGCTATGTGAGACAACTGAGGCAGGAAGATTGCAAGTGCAAACCCTACCTAATCTACAGAGCAAGTTCAGGGTTGTGCAAGTCACTAAGTGAGAGCTGCTTCTCAAAAATAAGAGAAGTTTAAAAGAGCTGGGATGTAGCTGATTGGCTCAACCCTTAGTGCCAAACACAAACAAACTAATACTAAACTCCAAAGAAAAACAAGGAATGTTTTTTTGTTGTTGTTCATTGTCAAAATGAGAAACAGGGAAATCTTTATGAACCCAATAACATAAGATGCACCTATTCAGGAATAATTCACTAAAACCAGAAGTGGAACGAAGATCACACAGAGAACTAGGATTTCCTTGACATTATTTGAAGGCATGTATTTCTCCAAAAATATCTAACCCACTGTTTTCATTGCATGAAATTTTACCATTATCTTGGCTTTCAAAATTGTAAACATTTATTAGAGGAGCTACACTAGCAGCACCAAAACCCTCACAAGTAAATCATATTGTTTTAAAGTTAATTTTTTATTTAAGCATTTCTGATACAGGGTACTGCTTCTAATTTTGGCTGAGGTGTTAAGAGAAGCTTTTTCCTTGCTTGCCGATTTGGTATATCCCCCGCCAATCGCCTGGGCTCTGCCGCGCCAGCCTGGTTCTAGATCCGCATGAGTCCCAAATAAACACACAGGAGGCTATATTCATTATGAAGCTGTTGGCCTTGTTTGTCCCTTACTGGCTAGCTCTGCCTTAAGTAATTACCCCATAATTGTTAATCTAAGTATGTTTCTTACCGGAGAATAGTTCCCGGTGTCCTACTCCCATGGCGTCACATGTTGACTCTCCTGTGTTTCTCCTACCCAGAATCCTCCTGGATTCCTAGCCCCACCTATCTAGATTCCTATTGGCCAGACAGTGCTTTATTAGCATAAGACTTCCCCAACACTGAGGTATTACAAACTATGGCCTGAACCTATCAGAAGTATTGTAACAATAAAAAAATGATAGGAAGAACTGTATTAATGTGCATATGAGTTACTTAAGACTAGTAATCTTTAGAAAGATTCTCCAGATGGAAAAAAGCAACAGTTATTGAAAAAATTAATTTATGTACACTTTCCACAAAGATATTGGAATGTTTGGTTTCACTGAGTATCATAAGCCAAATCAGAAGGAAGTGTAATATGTTCCACGAAAACAACATAATTGGTATCATTTGATTTTTTTCATTACCTTGTATTTAAACTAAATAAGGTAATATTACTGGTCTTTTCTCCTTGAGTTTCAATGCCCAAACCTAACTAAGTGATATGAACAAACCATAAAGTTAGACTCAAGAAATATTTAAAACAGTCCTCTGTCATTTACAACTTGTATTAAACCAGTCTCGTAAGTTAGGAGTGATGTTTTCTTTCACCTAGTATCCCAAATATTCTTCGGAAATTCACATCATAACATCTCCAGTTCCCATTCCTGTCTTAGTAAAGATTATTTTATACTATGTATTATATTTTAACATAAAATATAGTCAAGAAAAGACAACTGAATTATGACACTAAATATAGGTTTATTCCTATGTAGGGGAAAAAAAGACAAAGGGGGAATTTTCCTTGGGAAAAAGAGATTGCAAAATAACTTTAGTGCTTAGAATAAATCCTTTGCCTCTTTGCCCTTACTCTTTATTCATATGCTCATGTCTAGTACCTCCGTATGACTTGGTATTCCTTTTTTTTGATTCTCACTTCGTGGGAGTTGGTATTCTCCTGACTTGTGTTTCTGTGATCAAGTTTCATGCTATCAAGTTTCATGAGGAGACTCTGATTGATGCAGAGAGAGATGATGTATAAAATTAAAGAAAAGGCATGGTAATTAGAAAAAGAAGGATGAGTTTGTGTGTGAGTACAGAAGAGAAGGCTGTAACATAAATAGTATTTATTGTTGGATTATGTAATAAATTAATGATGTTAACATAGTGATAAGTTATGAGCCTATATAAGCAACCTGGAATGAAAAACATTAGGTATCTGAACATAAAAATTCTAGTTCTATTTATATTTGCTTGGATGAGAAATTTGCATAGGCACCCATTTAACCTTTTAAGATGATATGAACTTAAAGTAAACATTCTCTCTATTCACAGCATCAGTGTAACAGGTTTTTTGTTGTTGTTTGGGTTGGGTTTGGTTTTCTTTTTTTCCATATTTTTAGACAGGGTTTCTTTGTGTAGTCCTGGCTGTCCTGGAATGCACTCTGTAGACAAGACTGACCGCTAACTCAGAGAGATCTGCCTGCCTCTGCCTCTGCAATACTGGCATTAAAGGTGTGTGCCACCACCCAGCAATGTAATAGTTCTTATATTCTTACTCTGAGTTGGCAGATACAGCAGGTGTTTCTTTTCTCACATATGAATCCTCCCACACTATACCTTGGGCATCTATCATTGAACCATTTCATCAACTACATTTGCACTTACCAACTTGAAATAAGATAGCAGAAACTAATAGTGTCACATCTTCATTTTGGAAAAATTAGGTCAAAACAGGGATCATATTGGGCAAAATTTTGACACCCCACCTTATATTCAGTGACTGAACATTGCTGACTGAGCAGAAGAATCTGTGTTTGACCTTACCTCAACTGATACAAGAAAAAAATCTTGGATTTTAATTGCTTGAACCAGTCACTAAGATTGTTATATACCAACTATTCTTTCTTGTATGATATCATGTTACTCTCAGGCACTTGGTGTTTGCCAAGATATAACTAGATGTTGGTAAGGAATGTGAGGAAATTACAAATGGAATCCTGTATTGAAGATCCAATTAAGTATTCCCATCCAGGGTAACCACAGCAAATCACCACAAGTTTAACTTCATAAAACAAGGAAGTCTTGCTTCAGCTGGATTATTTATAAGAGTCTCACAAGAAATATAAAAAAGCTAACATGGCAATGTAACCCACTAGAACTTTGGGATACTCTGCCTCTAGACTCAAACAAATTATTGGTTGATTCAAGTTAATAGAACAGAAGTTACCATTTTGCTGTTGGTAGACAGTATACGGGACATCCTCAGGGGACTTTTATATCATCTACTACACTGAGATCCGTAGTATCTATGAAAGTTTCCTTCCTCGTTGCCTATCTTTCAATGAGTTTGTCAATCATTCTAGTTAGGTAGCTATATGCTATGAAACAAAGATAAGTGATAGACATTGTATTTTGATTAAATTAGTCAAACCCATTTCTAAGACTGGTATTCCAAATTAGAAAATGAAGATAAGAAGAAGGCCAAGAGAGGAGGTAGAGACTATCATAACATATGAAAAAGCCCAGTAAGAGTAATATCCAAGCTTGAATATCCAAGTAATTTCAAAGCTTGAAAGCTAGTGTGCAACAGCAGAATGCCAGAGGGAAGAGAGAGAAAGGAAAGTAGATAAGAAAGCCAATGTAGTGAATTGTGTTCTGCAGTTTCATCCACTGAATCCTAGAACAGAAGACTAACTGTTTGGGGGATAGGGCTTGTGATGGTTAATTATGACTGGTCAAGTTGACTAGATTTAGAATCACATCCTTGAATAAAGATCTCTGAAGACATTTCTAGAAAGGTACAACTGAAGTGAAAAGACCTTCTGTGAATGTGAGCAATATCATCCTACAGGCTAGGATCTCAGGCTATAGACAAATAAAACAGGAGAAAGTAGGCTGAACACAACTGACTTTCATCTCTCTGTACTTCTTGACTGTGGATGCAATGGAACCTCACTTTCCTGTGATAGACTGTATGCCCCAAACAATGAGCCCAAATAAACCCTTTCTCTTCTTGTAGTTGGTCACAACAAACAAGAAGTAATCAATATAGGACATTTAATGATAAGTAAATTATAATGAAGCTATTAAGGTGGATTCTAACCAACTTTAACTGATGTCTGTTTAAGAAAGAATTTGGACATACAAAAAATCCTTGGGTAGATAAATATAAAATGACCATGGGGGTCACAAAGGGAAAGCTGCCACCTGCAAGCTAAGAACAACCACAAGGGAAACTAAATCTGTCAATACTTCGATCATTGACTTCTAGCTTCAGGTACTAAGAAAATAAATGTCTTTTGTTCATGAAGGCAGTGATGTTTTGTTATGGCAACCTTGCCAACTAACATAGATAAACAGGAGCCACTGAACAGAGATCTTTATTCACAGAAGCTGGAATCATGTGTTCCATTTGCTTTACTAATGTAAAATGTTTCTTTCTCATAAAGATGCAGAACTTGGTGGGGTTTGCTGAGAACAAAAAAATAACAGTTTTTTTCCCATGAAAGGAGAAATAATAATCAATGGCATGGAGATGATT